GGGCTACACAGAGAAACCTTAAAAACAAAGACAAACAAACAAAAAGCATAGTGGCTTGGAAAATGGGTTGGTGGTAACAGTGCTTGCTGGGTGAGCACAAGGACCTGCCTGAGCTTGAATCCCTAGCACCCACATAAATATCTGGGCATGGTCAAACATTCCTGTAACCCCAGAACTTCAAGAAGGGCAGACACAAGATGGCTGGGGCTTGCTGCCCAGCAGCCCAGTTCCAGGACCAACAAAAGACCTGGGGTAAATATAGTGAGACAGTGAGGGATGGAACAGTGCAGCTGATGTTCGCTCTGCCACGTCCACATGTAACACATGCATGCCAAACACACACCACACAAAACAAACACCCGTGGAAGCTGGGGAGTCGGATTATGCATGTCACCCTATCACAAGGTTCTGGGGCTGTTTGTTTGTTTTGACACAGTTGTGAAATGAGAGGGATAGCTGTCCACCAGATCCTGGGGGAACAGAAGTCTGCCACCATGGTGTCACAGAACCCCATGCCTGATGGACACCCAAGCAAGCATTCTTCTGTCTATTCCTTGCATGTGTTCTCTCCAAGGAAACCTCTGCCCCTGTCCCCTATGACCTCTGTTTTCACGTGACTGGATCTCCTCAGTCCTATGTCCTGTGGTGTCTGATCTTCTTTATTTTATTTAGGGTTTTTTCTAGTGTTTTGTTTTTAGTTTTGAGACAGGATCTCATGTAGCTGAGGCTGACCTTGAATTCCTGCCCCTTCCCCCTTAGACTCCTGAACGCTAGATGAAGTGCTCGAGCCATGCCCAGCCACGTCCTGTGTTGAGAAGTTGCCGTAACCTCAGCAGATCCCATCTACAGAGTTCTTTTGCCAACAAAGGTCTCGCTGCCAGGTCCTGGGCCTGAGCATGGACAGATGGTTTTCACACGGTTCCAGCTGCTATGGGGGTGCCACCCACACCCTGGAGCAGCTTCTAGAGAGAGGAAAAGTGATGAGGGTGGCTCCCCTATCCTCTTGACAGCAGCTTGGGATTTTTTCTCTGCAGAGATCCCAGATGGCAGCAGTCAGCCCTGGTAGCCAGCAGCACAAAAGAAAGTGCCATAGGGCCAACTAGATGGGGCTCAGCGGGTATGAAGGTGATTGCTGCCAAGCTCAATGACCTGAGTTCAATCGCCGGGATGCACACGAGAGAAGGCAAGAACCAATTACACCAAGCTGTCCTCTGCACATGTGCTGTGGCACACATATGCACATGCTTGTGTGTGCACACACATACGGTCTGAGCAGGCAGGGCTAACCTGCACTACTGATTCTGTGGAGAGAGGCCCTTGCCGTGTGGATCAGCCTTCCGAGCATCTGGGACAGCACACAGGTGCCACCATGCCTAGCCAAGTAAGCACATTCTGTGGCCCAGCTCCCGTGGCCTAAGGCACTCAGTACCCGTCACTCCAGGAACCCAGTGTCCCAAGGCAATGGCCAGCAAGTGACACACACACCACTTCCACCCCAACCCCATCTGCGTTCCTTCTGCATCAAGAAAGTTCTGCTGAGAAAAGGCTCTAGCTACCCCTTGCCCAGGCTACCCACCCACTAATCTGCACGCCACACACGGCCGCTTGGCCCCAACAGTCTCCAATGGCCTCACCATCTTCCTAGGGCAGAGGGATTAGAACATGTGCCACTGCCACCGGTTCCCAAGGGGCTGAGAGGTGAGGACCCCATGTGTCTAGCACAATACAGAGACTGACCCAGCACCACCAGCCCGTCACTGCTGCCCTGCAGAGGACGGAGCAGCAGAGGGGCAGGCACAGCTGGTGGACCCCAGATGTCTGACACCTGACAAGGTGGATCAGCAGGTGAAGGGGCTTGCCGCCAAGCCTGATGAGCCAGCTATGATCTAAGGGACCCTGGGGTCATCTGACTTCACAGGCATAACTCTCAAAATAAATTAAAATGTAGTCATTTTTCAAAAAATCTTAAATAGGTCAATTTTGTCATGTTTTTTCTTTTGTGTGTGTGTGGAAGTGCATGTGTGTGCCCACGTGTGTAGAGACCACAGCAAGCTCAGGCTGCAGCACAGTCTCTGTTCTTTAGCAGCCTTCACCCTGTCTTGTTTGTTGAGACAGGGTTACTCTGTGTAGTCCTGGCTGTCCTGGCCTCACTCTGTAGACCAGGCTGGTCTCAAAGTCACAGAGCTCCGCCTGCCTCTGCCTCCCCAGTGCTGGGATCAAAGGTGTGCGCCATCACCACCCCCCACGCCTAGCCAATTTTATTTCTAAATCACAGGCGGTGTGTGTGTCTGCATATGCCTGCATGTGACCAAGGAGGCTGAATCGCTTTGGAGCTAGAGACACAGACAGTTGGGAACTGTCTGACCTGCATAATGGGAAATGGACCCAAGCCCTCTGGAAGAACAGCCAGTGCTCTCACCACTGGCTCACCACTGGAGCCATCCTCCAGCCCAGGGTTTCACTGGGCCTGGGGCCTGCTGATGTGGTGAGACAGGCTGTCTGTCGTGCAGACGGGCAGAAACCTTCCTTTGGGAGTGCTGGGGATCAAAATGCAGTCCCCAGGCTTGTTTAACGGGCCTTCACCTTCCTATAGCATGTCTTCAGCACCTCCTTTGTTCCTGTCTTTCTTTCTTTTTTTTGAGATTTGCCTTGCTTTATAGCCTAAGCTACCTTTAAAGGCCTCAAATGCAGCGAAGCTCCCACCCCAACCTTCAGATCGCTGAGCACAAGCTACCATGCCCACCTGCTAGACATATTCTGAACTCAGGCTGCTCGTGGAGCATCACACATGTAGGGTCAGGGGACAAGTTCCAGGAGTCAGTTCTCTCCTTCTACCAAATGGGTCTAGGGACTGAACGCAGGCCCTCGGGCGTGGCAGAAAGAGCCTGTAACCAGCGTGCTATATCACCAACCAAGGAAGGAAGTGTGGCTAATGCTGCCAGAATGACTTTGAGAACTCAGTACTGAGCATGGAGGCCAACACCAGAAAGCCACAGGGCCCACCTGCAATCCCTGAACAGGCCTGGGGAGGGAATCGACCCAGGGTTGCTGCAGGAAACAGGATCCTCTGGGGCAATGAAACCGCTCTGGAAGAGAGTGGAGTGGCCATACGACTCAACAAATAAACTGGAAGCCAGTGAGTGCCAGCTGTCACATAGAGCACAATGCCAACTACATTGCAGCCAACCAAGCTGTAAACCCTTTCGGGATAGGCAAGGGGCACTCACCTGTCCTCCCAGTGCTCAGGACGGGGAGGCAGGACTTCAAGACTTCATTCAAAGTCCTCCTCAGTGAGTTCAAGGCTAGCCTGTGCTATAACAGACCTCGCCTCAGTAATGTTTTCCACAATCATTCATTTCCAGTATTGTGAAGAAACCAGACTTCTATTAAAAATGCTAGCCACTGAACTCTTTGTTCTGGTTACAGTGCAAACATTTGATACCAACTATGTGTAGACAGCTACTATGTGCTGGAAAAGAGAAGCAGCCTCAGCTGCCCTGGCCTGTGAGCAACACAGGGGTGACATACGTTTTGTTGTTGTTGTGTTGGTTTTTGAGACAGGGTTTCTCTATGTAACCCTGGCTATCCCAGAACTTGCTCAGTAGACCAGGCTGGCTTCAAACTCACAGAAATCCACCTGCCTCTGCCTCCCAGGTGCCAGGACTTTTCACTTGCTTATTCATTTGCCAGCCATGCCTTTCTCTATGTGCTGAGGGAGAACATGGATCCCCTCTTGAGCACACTGGGAAAGGGGTCTGGCTGAAAGTGTAAAAACAAGCACATTTGAACACACATTTTCATCTCTAATGCCACATCTCAGAGAAAAGCAACCGGTTATCAAATCACCTGATTGGTTCTGCCTGACGAGTTAGAGCCTAGCCTAAGTGCCCTGGCAGGTCACATGGGAAGCAGGAAGTGAGATTCCGAGCCCAGGAACCTGAGGGTGCACAGAACATGCCACACAGCATCACCTCCTGGACCCTCGAGGAACACTGACACCACACGCTTGACATGTAAGGCTCAGGGCCAGGCCTACTCCCCTGTGGCCGGGGACCCAGAAGACCAGCTTGCCGAATGGCCAGCCACCTGAGGCAGTCAACCCTCTACCCACAGAGGGAAGGTAGCTGCTCCCTGTCATGAAGGAAGGAGGCTGCAGGGGAAGCGAGCAACTGTCTCCAGGCTGATCCCACACTTCTGAAGACCCCATGGAGGGCCACTCAGCTATCCACGGTGAGTAACCTCTGCTTCGTGGCAGAATTAGGAAGACCAAGGAGCGCACAGGTGACGATGACATGCCTCCTCCTCAGGTAGCAAAGAAGGAGTGACAACTGTGCTCTCAGATAACACTGAGGAGACCCCTCTCCTTTAGGTCGCAGTGAAGAGTGACAACTGTCCGCTCAAGGAGCAAAAAGGTGACAACAATCCTCTCAGGTAGCAACAATGGGACCACTTGTCCCCACAGGTAGCATGAAGGGAACAACTGTCTCTGCATGTGGCAATGATGGGGCCACCTATCCCCACAAGTAGCAATGAAGGGTGACACCTGCCCCCTCAGGTAGCAATTAAGGGTGACACCTGCCCCCTCAGGTAGCAATGAAGGGTGACACCTGCCCCCTCAGGTAGCAATGAAGGGTGACACCTGCCCCATCAAGTAGCAAAGGAGGGTGACACTTGCCCCCTCAGGTAGCAATGATGGAGTTGTAGATCCCCCAAAGTAGCAATGATGGGGTCCCTGTCCCATCAGGTAGCAATCAGGGGGGTGACACGTGTCCATTCTGATAGCTATGATGAGGGCGCACGTCCCCTCAGGTAACAATGGTAGATGACACTGTCCCCTCAGGTAGCTGCAATGGGACCACCTGCCCAGTCCAAAGAGCAACCTCGAGAGCAGCCGCTCCGCACCCGCTGGCAGCGTGGGGACACCTGCGGCGGCCGCAGCCCCGCCCCCGCGTCTCTCCCTCCTCCTCTCCCTCCTCCCCTCCCCTCCCCCGCGCTCTCACCCGCGCGGCACGCGTCAGGCTCAGGTCCTTCATGACCTCCTCGAAGGCCGCCGTCTCCTCCGCCTGCTTCTGGTTGTGCAGTGCGATCTTCTCGCTAAATTTCCGCGGATTGTTTGAAGTCGCCATCTTCTCGCCGCCGCCTCCTCCTCCTCCTCCTCCTCCACCTCCTTGCCCCCCCCACTCGCGGGTACCACCGCGCAGGCGCCGGCCGGGCCCACGGCCGGAGAGCAATGCGCAGGCGCAAGCGCAGTCCCATGCATGGCGCAGGCGCACCGGAGCGGCGCAAGGCGCGGTGGTGAAGACGCATGCGCGCGCGCCTGGGCAGCGCGTTAGAAACCCGGGAGGGGCGTGGCTACGCAGGCGCGCTAAGGCGCGCGCGGCCCGCCAGACAGCAGCCGCGTGGTAGTGTTCTGCCCCTTCCACGAGGGACTTGAGGACACGGCAGCCTGGTGCCTGCATTCACTAGACTCCAACATTCACTGGAGATTTATGAAGCGCCTGCTGTAGACCAGGGCATAGGCGTGAACAAGCAGTCGTGGTCCCTGGGCTACTGGGGTACCTAGCCGGGTAGGGGAGCAGACCGCACACCAGGAAATGGCCAAGCGAGCGAGAGGCCAGAGGTGCAGCTCCTGGGCAAAGCCTGGCTCGGCACCCAGAAGCAACGCGCGCGCGCGCGCACACACACACACACACAATTATCACAAGTTTCAGTTAGGAAAAAAATGTGCGGCACCTTCTAAGAACGATGGTGCCAGGCTTGATGGCGTAGCATGCAATCCCTAGCTGCAGAGTGAGTTCAAAGCCAGCCTGTGACCCGGAAACTGAGTCTAAAAAATATAAAAGGCAGGTGCTGGAGAGGTGGCTCAGATGTTAAGGGCTCCTGCCTAACCTCGAGAAGAGCCTGACTGCGAGCCCAGCTCATTCTTGCTACTCCGGGTCTAGTCCATCCAACGCCCTCTTCTGGCCTCAGCAAGAACACGCGTACACATATGCCCTCCGTGCACACACAGCATGTGCACAGATGCATAAGTAAATTTTTTAAACTTAAAAATATTAGAAGAGCTAAAGAGATGGTTCCGTGGGTAAGAGCATTTGCTGTGCAAGCATGAGGACCAGAGTTCAAATCTCTGCCACACATATAAAAGCTGGTCAGGGTGATGCAGGCATGTGACCTCCATGACAGGGAAGTGGAGACAGGAGCCAGCTGAAAGATAAGCTCCAAGTTCAGTGAGAGAGGCCCTGCCTCAAAGGAATACATAGAGAGAAATGGAAAAAGGTACCTGGCAGCCTGTCTGTCAGATACAGATGCATGCATTCACTTACACACACACACTCATGAACACAGACACACACTCATACACACACACTCACACATTCACTCTTGCAGTGCTGAAAATGACTGTGTGAATCACAGACCCACAGATGGAAAAGGAGCCTTAAGGTGGCAAGATCTTGAGGTCCCGGGTCCAGCTGTGCCTGAAGCTGGAGACCCAGGCCTTGTCAGCTACAGGAGACTACTGCCTCTCCACTTCGCTTAGTTCCGTCTTTCCCACCCAGCACTGCCTGAGACCCCAACTTCTGTCCGGCAGAGGAGAGACGGGACACACTCCTGTCTGCCAGCTAGTTCTTACTATTGTCCAAAAGTCAGAAGGCACAGCCACAGCCCACAGCTACCAGGAACAGATTAAATACGGAGGCCATGGCTAGACCTGGACTCCGGGATTTTGCCTTCCCTCATGGTTTCAGAAGGCTGTAGTGAAATTAATGTGTAGTGATTAGACACCAGCTGTCTGTGCCAATTCCTCAGACCTGAAGGGAGCCCATCAGAGCCACAGGCAAATGGAGGAGACACAGGCTGGGAGGCAGCAGGGGAAGGCACGTCACAGCTAGGGACCGTGGTTACCATTTACCCCACAGCCCTGCCTGTAATCCGATCGTGCCAACTCCAGGGTGCTGGAACAGCCAGTCTGCTTATTGGGCAGTGGCCTACCATGACCTAAGCTCTTTTCCTGATCCACTGACACTCCTCCCCAGGCCTGTTGAGGGTGATATGGAAAGAATCATGTCCAGGGGTCCCTTTTCCTTATTTCTTCACACCTGTCATTCCAGTACTGGGGAAACTGAGGTAGAAGGATGGAAAATTCCAAGGCAGAGACTGAAGAGATGGCTCAGCAGACAGTGTGGTGGTTTGAATAAGAATGTCCCTCATAGGCTCATATATTTGTATGCTTAGTCAACCATGGCACTATTTAAGAAGGACTGGGAGATTTGGCCTTATTGGAGCAAGTGTCTCACTGAGGGTGGGCTTTGCAGTTTCAGAAGCTAACGCCAGGCCCAGCGGCTCCCTCCCTGCCTGCAGGTCTTGATGTAGAGCTCTGCCCTCCTCCAGCACCCTGTCTGCCTCCTCCAGCACCCTGTCTGCCTCCACGCTTCCCACCATGACAGTAGTGGACCGAGCCTCTGAACTGCGAGCCAGCCCCAGTTAAACATTTCCCTCTGTAAGAGCTGCCCCGGTCATGCTGTCTCTTCACAGCAATAGGACAGTGACTGGGTTCCATTCCCAGCATCCACACAGCAGCTCACAGCCACCTGTAGTAGCAGTTTTGGGAATCCAATGCCTTCTTCTGACCTCCTTGTGCATTACACTCACGGGGGCACCTACACGCACAATGGCAGACAGAAATAAATAAATTCTATCTACCTGTATTTTAATAAAATAAACAAGAGCTGGGGAAATGGCTGTGCGGTAAGCAGGCTGTGGGAGCATTAGGACTGAGTTTGGGTCCCTCGCCTGCATGGAAGAAGAGCGGGCATGCTGTAATCTCAGCACTGGCGAGCAGAGACGGGTGATCCTGCGAGATGGCTGGCCAGTCAGCCTGACTAAATGGTGAAAGACTGTCTCGAGGGAATAAGGGTGAGAGGGATGGTGGAATAGCCCAAGTGTCCTGCCCTGGTGTCTGGATGTTCACAAATAGACAAAAATACTTCCGTGAATGCAACACAGACACACACTCACACACAGAGAGACACATACACAGAGATACACTCACACACAGACTTACGTCATCGTCATCGTCATCATCAATGTACTAATGACAGCACAGTAAGCTGACCTATCCTGTGAGACCAGGGCATATGGATGCTGACCTTAATGCCCATCCATAGACCCTTAGGATCTCAGCGAGGGAGGGCATTTCTGTCTGTGCTCCTGTCCTGGAGGATCAAACACACACAGTGTCTCATACATGTCTACCAGCCAATACACTACGTGCTACGAGCAGCAGCAGGAAAACAGGTTTGCTGAGTGACTTTCTGCCTGGCAAACTCCCAGTCACCCCTCAAAACCTGCCACAAAAGCTCCCTCTTGCAGAAGTCCTGATGCTCAAGTAGAAGTGAGTGTGTTCTGATGCTCTAGTAGAAGTGAGTGTGTTCCGCACAGCGGCCTGCCCTGGGTCACTCTTGAGGGGGGGGCATACTGTGCACACCCTGGAAACCACTTGCCCAAGCCTCTTGGACCTCGTTGTATGTGTGATGTGTGTATGTGTTTGTGGGGGTGTGCACATGGACAGGTCAGAAATAGGCATGGGTGCCTTCCTCAGTCACCAGTTAGAGTGTGTGTGTGTGTGTGTGTGTGTGTGTGTGTGTGTATCTATTTAGATGCCAGAGGGCCACTGTGAGAGTCAGCTCTTTCGTTCTACCATGGCTGGCCTGGGGATTGAACTCAGGCTGCAAGTGCCTTTACCTGCTGCGCCATCTCCAGCCCCTTTATCGTATTGGAAGTTACCACTTTGGCTAGCCCAGCTGGCTAATGGCCCGCAGGAGCCCTGTCCCTTCCTGACACTGGACCCGAGGCTCTGCCACATGCAGGCACTTCCCTAGCACACCATCCTGACAGTCCCATGTTTTCTGTCCTTCAAGTCATCACTCTACCTGGCTCCAAGCGTTCCCTGACAACTCTCTCAATGTCATCTCCCCTTCCCTTTCTCCTGCCTGCCCCTGCAGCAGGCTGCATCCTGCCTCGGGATCTTTGCACAGAGCACTCTCTGCTTGGCTTCCCATTCCCTGACACACGGGCCCCAGCAGGCCTCTCATGAGAAGTTAGGTCAAGACCTAAACTCCCACGGGGAGGTGGCAGTCAGGCTTGCTCTTGGCTCTTCTCTGTGCTTTCACTGGCTCACGTGTGTGTGGGACAGAACTCCACCTAGCATGCTGTGGGGAAGGTGAACCAGACCCGCTCAGCTCACCCCCAGGCCACAGCTGCCTGGGAAACTAAGATGGGGGGTCTCTTAGCTGCTCTTTGTTTTGTGAGATGACGGCTGTTCAGAGGGCCCTTGTCTTAGAGAAGTGAATCCAGGCTGCTGAGTCTGGGAGGCAAAGAGGTGGCCGAGCCTGGGCTACAGTCAGACTTACAAACCAGGAAACCCAGTCATGACCAAGCGGGAGGAGGGGGGCAGTAGATGCCCAAAAGGCGGCTTAGGCTGCAGGGCAGCCAGGAATCCCGGACTCCCTCTCAGCACTGCAAGCAACCAAAAGCAGACCTGAAGTCCATCTGGGTGACAGTGAGGTGAGGCCCCAGGTCCTGTCACCCACCCTGGGCTTGAGACAGGGAGTAGTAAGATGGCCAGTAAATGAAGGGTTGCAGCCTAGCAGAGCTCCTCTGAGTTCAAGCCCCAACCTCCACATGCTAGAAAGAGAGAACAGACCCCTGCAAGTTGTCCTCTGACTCCCCCCCACCAACTGCACTCACACACACACTCATGTGCACACACACACTGACAGAATCAAGAAAAAACTGTAAAGAGCCTAGGGCTGGAGAGATGGCTCCGTGGTTAGGACACTGGCTGCTCTTGCAGGACCCAGGTTTAGTGACTACATGCCAGCTCATGAGCGTGTGCAGCTCTGCTACATCTGGCTTCTCTTGGCTGCCAGCATCTGGGTTTCCAGTCCACATGAGTGGAAGTCCCCAAGTCAACGCTGGGGGTTGAACTATCGGCTCCCATTCCCCATCCATGACAGGCCATAGCGTCTGCCATGGGACTTTGTGGTTCTTTCTTCTCATGTCCAGTGGTCATGTGGGCCTTGGCCACACACCTTTTGTGCTGTGCACTCCTAGATGGCAGCAGCAGTCCCAACTAGCTAGACCTTAGTGGCTGACTGGATTCCACACAGCCTTGGGCACCTGTGCCAGAGGAATGCAGTTCTGGCTTGCTGCTGGTCTCAGAGGTGCATGAGACAAGGACATAGCCCTGCTAGTGAAAGCCTCACACCCAGAAGCCCACTGCAGCCAGTGTCTACCTGGGTCACAAAGTCAGCACCCACTTGCCCACAGGAGAGAACCCTGTGGGCAATATGTGGAAGCTGGGTGTGGCAGCCCCATCTGTAATCCCAGCACTCGGAGGCAGATGCAGGTGGATCTCTGTGAGTTTGAGGCCAATCTGGTCTACAGAACGAGTCCAGGACAGCCAAGGCTACACAGAGAAATGCCGTCTCAAAAAAAAAAAAAAATTCATGTGGGGCTGTTTCTTGGGTGGTTTTGTTTTTGAGACAGGGTCTCACTCAGCAACATGGTTGCCCTGGAATGTTCTCTTGTAGTCCAGGCTGGCCCTGAACTTATGGAGATTCATATGTGTTGTTGACAATGAATGGTTATGGGCTATATAATGTTTATTATTAACCCTATAATTATTATGGTGGTATTATTTAACCTACTATCACAATAAGACACAGACACCTGTTACATTTTCTAATTGTCTTATTTACCTTGGGCTGGACAGATATTCCACCTACACTGTCTCAGTAACCTCACCATCCACCTTCCAACCCCATCCATTCCCATCTGGCCTAGCTCCCATCCATCATTTTATATATATATATATATATATATATATATATATATATATATATAGTTTATTTTTCATCTGGGTCCTGTTCTCCATCCAAGTGACCCCCTGAGTCCTTTCTCCCGGCCCACGTGGTTCCTTCTCCATACTAACCCATGTGGCATCCTCCTTTCAGTGATTCCCTGTCCTCAAAAGCCTGTGAACCTTCACGATACCTAGCTCCTTCCACCCTGCCCAGGTACAGGCCTTTTTTAGTAACCAATCAAGAATAATGAACGTCTTCAGCAGGTTTACACAAGGATAGGTGTATCTGGGCAGTTAACCAGATCGCTAGGGCCAGTAGTTAGCATCAAAATGCAAGCATCAGACCAATGCCAGCATTTCCACTGCTCCTGTGGACTCAGGGGCTGTGCCACCACACCTGGCTATGGGGCCGTTCCTAATGCAATAGCAGCTGACCGGGTCACAGATGTGCTCCCTCTGCCCCTGTTAGAAGCTGTGACGGGGCAGAGAATGCAGACTGGGCGCGATGGTGTGATCCAGAGCAGCCGCCACAGGCTCCTCTGCCTGAATACTCAGTCCCCAGTTGGTGGAGTTGGGAAGGGTTAGGAGGTGTGACCTTGTTTGAGGAGGTGTGTCATGGGTGGGTTTTGAGCCTTCAAAAGTTCACACCGTTCCCTGTGCTCTCTGCCATTGTCTTAACATGTAACCTCTCAGCTGCTGCTCCAGTGCCATGCTGCCTGCCACCATGCTCAGGGACTCACCCCTAAAGCTGCGAGCCTATAAAACTGTTTAATCTAGAAGTTGCCTTGGTCTTGGTGTCTCCTCATAGCAACAGAAAAGTAACGAACACACTGGGGCCCAGGCGTGGGGGTCTACTCAATGATAATGGGACAGGCAAGATGGCTCCATGGAGAAAAGCAGCTTGCCACCAAGCATGATGCCCTGAGCTCAGTCCCTGGCACCCACACAGGGGAAGGAGACAACCATCTGCTGAGCTGTCTCTGACCTCTGCATGCTCACTGCGTGGGGAGACCACAGAAGTGCCCTCAGCATCCAGGACTGTGATACCCTGCCAGCTCAGCTCCGGGAGCTACCACACAGCCTCCCTATGTAGCCCAGGGTAGCCTAGAACTTGCAATCCTGCCTCAGCTTCTAGAGTCCTCAGATGACAGGTGTGGCCAGAATGCCTGGCTGTGTAAGCTCCTAACTGAACGCAGGGCCTTCCACGCGTGGGGGCTGCACTCTACATGCAGGTACTGCGCAGTCTGTCACACTCACGCTATGATGTGCTTGTGCACAAGGGGAGGCAGGAGGATGTGAAGCGCCCCGCTCTGGCCTCTCAGCCAAGCTCCTCGGCGACAGTCCCTGGCTCCCCTGCCTTCCACAGACTATCGCAGGCACTCACAGCCATGCTGCTTCTCGCATGGGTGCTGGCATCCAAACACACTCTAGGCCGGCACGCCATTTTGTTTGGTGTGTGTGTGCATGGCGTGCACATCCTCTGGAACATACATGGATATCACAGGACAACTTGCAGATGATAGTCGGCTCTGTCCCTCCGTCACGTGGGTCCAGGAATCAAATTCAAGTTGCCACTTAGCCATCTCGCTGGACCCCTAATTTTGATTTATTTGGTTTCAGCCATGACAAAATCTGGCTGCTAGGTCTTAAGGAGCATTTTGGATAACAGGGAGTCTGAGGTCCAATGAACCAGGATGGGATGATGGCTCCTGTGACTTTAAGGCTTTGGGAGACAGGAATATCGCTATGATTCACTTATCTTGCTCCTCACAGCCACAAGATGGCTGCAGAAGCTCCTGGCATCCTGTCCACAGAGGAAGCAGCAAGAGAGGGGAGGGGGCAACAAAGTCTCGCTCGTCCCAAGAAACTTCCGACCCCTTGAAGCTTGCTGGCCAGGGCTGGGAGCTGTGCCCAGATTGAAAAACAACCCCAGCCAAAGGCACTGCCAAGAACGGTTCGGACCGAATCTGAAATCAACCCCTGGGGCTGGGCACACGGCTGCTGGCAGCATATCAGAGTTCTGGGGGTGAGGAGGGCGCTGCGGCTGCCGGCTCAGCCGCTGGGAACACTGAGAGGAGAGCTAAGCAGCAGCCCTGCCTTGGGTGGGGGTGCAGGCTGGCACCAAGTGATGGAGTTGGAGTGATGGCTGGCACCCACCTCTCTGTGTATGGGCATCTTCTGGCCGGGTCCCAGGCTGCAGAGACAGGCAGCCAGGTGCCGCCAGCACTAGGGAACACAGAAGATCTCAGCCGTGAGAATGTTCAAGTTGGAGCTGACTGCTGGAAAGCAGAGCCAGGGGCGGGCTTCCAAGCTGGCCAGGTCCAGGCGGGTTCCCACCTCACAAGGCTCCCTGGAGGCCCCCACGGCCTGACTCACTTCGAGGCCTTGGAAGTCACACTTGGCCTGTCTCTCGGGCCTGCAAACCACTGTCCCCTGAGAGGGCAGTTTCCCACAGCCAGAGCCCAGGTGTGGAGGGAGGTGCCTCAGGACCTTGGCCAGGCCTCTAGGAAGAAGCTGGAAACAGCCCAGTGTCCCCAGGCTCGAGGGGGTTCAGGGCCCTAAGACTGTGAGATAAAAGGCAGAGAGGCCAGGGCAGTGCTGCTACCTGCAAGAGGGCATCTGCCAGATGCAGGAGCTGGCCTCTGTGTGTGAAGGGGAGGGAAACCAGGGGCTCACATCTATCATTCGCCAGAGACCTGCTCCAGCCCCTCCCTGGGGCACTGTAGACAAGGAGCTCCGCCCCTGAGCTCCACCCCAGCTTCTCACTGGAGGATTCTAAGTAGGGGCCCCGCCCCTGAGCCACACCCCAGCCCCTCCCTGGGAGATTCTAGGCAGGGTCTCCGCCCCTGAGACAGAGCCTGGCTTGGTGAGCTTCCCTTAACCACACATGAGCACGTTTGAGGTGGTGCCGATGGAAACACACAGGTTTGGCACGTCCAACCTGGCCAGGTGAGCTGACTGCTGCGCATGCTCACACTCAGGTGTACCCTCGAGTGTGGAGTGCGCGTGTGCAGTGCACAGGCATATTTTCCTTTCTCTGAGGGACACAGACCTTCACTGACTGAACATGCAAGTCAGCTTCTGCTAATTAAAAACAGCTTTTTCATGTTTAAAGTTTACAATACAAAAAATAATTTTCCTTTCTTCAGGGGGGTGGGGTGGGCGCCAAGGAAGGGGCAGGGGCCCCCAAGAATGTTCCATAAACTGGCTCAGATGGCTCTGCACAATTGCCCTTGTTAGACACAGCAGTGCCCCCACTCCAGGCAGGCGCCCCGGCCAGCTCAGCGGGGACAAGCTGTTGTGAGGTGCTATGTGATCTGGGGGACTTGCGGCTGGCAGACTTCACCCTAGCCCCTCCACAGAAGGCTGGAGGCCTTCTCCCTGGGGAAGCTCAGGTTGTGGGGAGCTGGAATGTCTCGGCAGTTCCATGTGGATGCCCAGGAGCTTCAGCTCCTCCCCTCCAAACGTGGCTCTTTAGTGGCAGTCGCCAGAGCCTTGCCGAGGACAAGGCTGGGCTAGCAGGGCAGGGACTTGGGGCGAGATGGCCGGCACTGTCCTGGCTATCAGGCACTTGTTCCCAGCTGTGGCCCTGTGCTGACCTGGGATGAGGGACGGCTCCTGAAGGTCCTCACCACCTCAGGGGGTTCATCTGGGAGGATGGAAACAGGCCGTACTGACTCTGCTCCCAGTGTGTCATCAGAGGCTTATATGCAGTTGGGGTGTGCAGCTGAGCAGAGAGTGAAGCCTCTGGGGGCTGCAGCTACCTGGAGAGGTCCCTCACTGTCTTCTGCACACCCTCTTCCAGAATGCTCAGGGTCCAAGCTGGCCCCTCAGCCCAGCCCTGAAGGTCACTGTTCAGCGGGGTGGGGAGAGAAAACAGGATGGAGAGGGAGGCCCTAAAAGCCGGAGGTCAGGCAGGCTGCAGGCAGTCAGTGAAGGGCTGCTCCCTCCTTCCACCATAAAGTCTTTATTAAATAAAAGAACTGATCAGCAGAGGTCGCAGCCAAACAGTGGGGTTAATTTCTCATGCAGTGAGTGGCCACACAATGGCAATATCCATCTGTCTTGTGGCTTCCGTAAACAAGAGAAAATGAAACAAAACACGAAGATAAGACTTCAGCATTTAAACAGTAAAACAAAGCATAGTTGCCATCTCGGTGAGGCTGCTGGGGCTCATAGAGACAGCATCCCCACTGCCCCCACCCCAGGGTGGGGAGCCCATGGAAGGACCAGACCTGGGAGGACGGCTACCTGCAGCCAGCATGAGAGATGGGCACCCAGCTCACTCTCCTCCCTGGCCATCTGAGTTGGCTTTTGTGTTTCTTGGTTTTGGTTTTTGTGGGTTTTGTCATTTGAGATAGGCTCTCACTCTGTGGCCCTGGCTGGCCTAGAACTTGCAATGATCCTCCCTCAGCGGCCTCTAGAGTACTGGAACAGCAGGCTGCCATGCCTCACTTGGTTCTGTCTCCTTATAAAAGTGGACTGGCACACACAAACAATGCTGGGTCCCTGACTGCACAGGGGGCCTCTTAGGGATGCTTCAGAAGTCCACACCACAAGTCAAGGTGGGCCAGGGAGCTGGTGCTGAAGACATTCTGCATCTGCCCTGGCAGGGTGCCTCTGGGGCAGGCACACTGGGTTCCTGCATCCTGAATGCTGCCGGGGTACCAGGCAAGCTGATTTGCAATCTTAAATTACACCCATTTGATTGTGTGCACGAGTGCGCGCCACAGTGCCCACGTGGAGACCACAGGACAATGCTGAGAAGCCCCTCTGCCTTGTGGGTCCCAAGACAGAACTCTGGTTTCCAGGCCTGGTGGCAAGTGCCTTTACCCACGGCACAGCCAGGATCTCAGACCAGTCAGGAGACGGGGAGGCGGTTCCCACGGAGACGCTTTCCGTCCATAAGCTGAGCGTCTGGCTAAGGATGAGGGAAATGGAGGCCCTGCCCCACAGGACACCCGCTGGGCAGTGACTACCACAATGCCTAAACTTCCGAGACCAGACCTCTGCTGGCTCGGCGCTGGGAGGTGGGGAACCCCGGGGCTGGGGTTCTGACGTCTGTGGGGACGCAGCCAGTCCGGGATCCCAGGCTACCTGCAGTGGCCGGCGCGGGGCAGCAGCACGGCGGCACAGGCGACGCCCGCGAAGGACTCCGGGAAGTGCAGGTCCCGCTCCCACTCGTCCGTGTCCGTGTTGTACACCTGCACAATGCCGGTGACGTTGTTCAGCCTCCAGTTGTAGCCGCCCACGACGTAGATCTTCCTCTCCAGCAGGCAGCAGCCGGCCTCCGACTGGCCAGCCCGCATAGGGGCCACGCTGGTCCACTGGTCGGCCTCGGGCACGTAGTACTCCACGGCCAGCACGTCAAAGCAGCGGTCCACGTGGTCCATGCGGCCGCCTAGGGCGTAGATGCGGCCTGCAGCGCCCAGCATGGCGTGCAGCACCCGGGGCTCTCGCATGGGCGCCCTGGGCTCCCAGCGGTCGGCTGAGGGGTCATAGCACTGCAGTGCCTTCTTGTCCTCGGCTGAGACGCCGTAGCCACCGGAGATGTAGAGGCGGCCGGCGGCCGCGGCGCCCGCGTGGCCCCAGATGCGGCGCTTCAGGGGGCAGGCAAAGTCCCAGCTGTCCCGGCGCGGGCAGTAGCGCTCCACGGACGCCAGGCTGCCTGCGCGGTTGCGGCCACCCGTGGCGTACAGCAGCCCGCCCAGGGCGGTGAGCTGGAACTGCACGCGGCTCTCCCGCAGCGCCTGCAGCCGCAGCCAGCAGTTGCGCTGCGGGTCGTAGCGGTAGCAGGCGTCCACGGCGCCCTCGCCGCTGCGGTGCTGCAGGTGCTGGCCACCGGCCACATACACGAAGTTATCCAGCACGGCCACGCCCGCGTGGCTGCAACCGAGCTCCATCTCCGTGAGCTCGCGGAAGTGGCGCGCCCCGGGCTCGGGCAGCTGGAACACCTTGCTGCTGACGGCGCGGTCGCTGTCGGTGTAGGGCGTGCCTCCGAAGGCCACCAGGGAGGCCACGTCCGAGCGCACGGCCGTGCGTGGCGACTGCATGTCATGCTGGCGGCAGGGCAGCACGTGGTAGCTGAAGGCCTCCAGCAGGTACTGGCGACACAGCGCGTCGTCCAGCATGACGTCGAGCGTCTGCACGCTGTCCACCAGCTCGGCGGGCTGCATGAGCGGGAAGCGCACGTGGCGCAGCACGAGGCTGGCCCGCGCTCGGCGCGCAGGGTCGTGCTGCAACCAGCGCACAGCCGCGTGGAACAGGTCGATCTCGGCGCAGCTCTGCAGCCGGTTGCTCTGCAGAAAGAAGACGAGGCGCTCCAGCGGCAGGCGCAGGAAGTCCTCTTCCGCCGCGATCTGCAGGAAGTGGCGGAACGTGAAGGCGTCTACCGACTCGCGCAGCGACGCCAGGCTGAAGGTGGTGGCCATCTGGCCAATGTGCAGGCACGTCTCCACGCTCATGGCAGCTTTCAGGAAGTCCTCGCACAGCTCCACCACCGGCAGCATCTGCAGGAACACAGCGGCGCCCAGCACGTCCTGCACGCAGTCCAGGTCCAGGGTCACCTCAGCACTGTAGGCGAAGTCGATGATGTGACGGAGGCCGCGTGCAGACACGCCCTGCAGCTGGATGACCGCCTGGCTGGCCTCGCGCATGCCGCCGGTAAACATGGCTCTGGAGGTGGGAACACAGCCGTGAGCAGGGCACTCGAGCTCTGTGCCGCCCCAGCCTCTCAGCGCCTGTGCAGTGCCGGGGAGGGCGCACTCTGCACAGGGCCGCCAGCCCCGAGGGGTGGCCCGTGGTGTCTTTAGCAGCTATCAGCTGCTGATGCGCAGCTACCTGACCCTTGAGCTCGAAGACAGGGCCAGCCTGTGCTCCCCAAACCCCACCAGACTCCAGAATCTCTTCACTGATGCCCTGCAGGCAGGACCAGCTGCCCCACCCTGGAAGCTAGGAAATAAGTGCCAAAGGGCCTTCCCCGTTCCCCCTAGGTTGCTTTGAAGGTCCCAAGAGTCACAGCCCACCAGGGGCACACAGCTTATTGCTGTCTCCAGGGAGAAGCTACAGAGATGGGACTAGGGCCCAGCACCAGCTGAATCCTCTCGGCCTGTGTGAGACCTCTGCTAGGGGTCCCTAGCTGTCGGGGAGCGGGGATGCAGGCCCACACAAGCGAGTTTTTGGGAAGGTCTAGGATCAAGTCTCAGCTTCTAGCAGGAAGAAGGAGCAGGCTGCCTGTGCTCCTGGGGTCCATAGGGCTCCCTTGGCAACATTCTGCAACATTTGACAGCAGCTCTCACTGTGAGCAGGCCTGCCTGGCCAGGGGAGGCCTACCCTCTGCTGGTGGGCTTGCTGTGACCTGGGCTCGGGGCACAGCAGGAGGGAAGCCACAGGTACCAGGCAGGGGCTGCCACCTAACGCCAGCATTCAGAGGGCCAGCATCAGGGCCTCCTGCGACCATGAGGAACAGCTCCCGGGCCTGGCCCCTGTGTCCCCAGAGTCCTCATCAGCCCCTGGGCACTTCAGTGAGAAAAGAGGCCAGGCCAGATGACAGGAGGGAGTTTTGCCTTTTAAGGCCTCGTGGGCTACATTGCCAGAGCTGGGGTGCCTTTAAAAGGCATTGCTGGCTGGGCCGCCCACCCGCCCCCAAATCCAGAGTAAAAATAGCATCGATGCCCCAGTTGGCTGTAGCAGCTCCCCATAACAGCCTCACTGGGCCCCAGAGAGGGCCGTGGGCCCTGAGGGACATGTGGCCCGATATATGCACCTGGATGGCAGTGGACCTGGAAGACCTGGCCCTCTCAGAATGGGGTGGAAGGAGGCTGAGCACAGGGCTCCAAGGGCTACCATTCCAGCTCCTGCCCATGCACTCAGGAGCACCCCCTGACAGTTCCATTGGGCCCTTAGTTCTGGCTCAGTCCTAGGACAGGGAAAAGTAGACAGACCTACGTGTCTGTGCATGCTTGAGGAATGATCTAGGGAGATGAGAGACCTATTTGGGCTTTGAGCCCCAGACACAGACACCACAGGACCTGGGCACCATGGCTCCCATGTCCCGCCAGTCCCTCAGCTGTTTGCTATAGTGACCTGGAGGCGCACCACAGCAGCGAGGGACTCATTACTGCTCTATCCTTGCTGGACACACACGGCCTGCACCAATGCCCAGCATGCAGCAGGTGTTGGCTGAAGGCTCAGGAAGGTCGAGGCTGACGTGGAGTGCCCTCCAGAGCACCTATGAAGCCCTGGTGTACTGCCGCAGGCCTGTCAGCCTAGCACCGGGGAGATAGAAGCAGAGGATCAGAAGGAGTTCGTGGGTATCCTAGGCTGTAATGTGAGCATGAGGCTAGCCTGAGCTATATGAGATCTAGCTCAAGAGAGAAATGAGGGGGGGGGGACAGGAAAGCCTGCAAGATGGCTCAGTGGGTTAAGGCACTTGCTAGGCCCAACAAGCTGAGTTTACTCCCTAGGACCCATAGAGCGGGAAGAGAACTGACGGCTGCAAGATGTCCTTTCTCCACATTCACGATGCTCACCTGCCTGAACCCCACCCAACAGAATACCTAGACCACACAAATTAAGTCAACAAAACTGAAAAAGACAGGGCCCCAAGGCGGTGGCATTCAGTGACAGAGTGCTTACCCAGTATGCAACAGGACTGAAAAATAAACTTAGAAAGAAATCATAGCAAGGTGTGCTGGCATGTCTGTCTTCTCAGCACCAGAGGACGGAGCAGGGGTGTTCTGAGTTTGTGGCTAATCCAAGCTACACAGCAAAACATTGTCGTTAAAACAATGGCTGCCACGCAGGTTCCCAGGGCCAGGCTTACCTGAAGTAGTCGCTGCAGGCCGCCAGGACCACCTTGTGCGCGTGGAAAGCTTCACTGTTGACAGTGAGGACCACATCCAGCAGCTGGCCCTGCGCACGAAGGGTGGCCAGACCCTGCAGGAGGCCGCTACTATGGCTAGCTGCAGAGAAGGTACACTTGAGGGCCCCATTCCTGTCGGCCAGGCTGCAGGGACAGCAGAGAGGAGGCATGGCTCAGAGACCTCTGGGTGGACACACACACACACTGACATGGAAGATACTTAGCACTGTAACACTAAGTGACAGAAGCAGCCAGGACAGACAGCTCCACACAGCGGAGGATGCAGGGCAGCAGGCAGAGCAGGTGGAAGAGGATGAGACCATTAAACACACAAGGTCTCCTTACAAAGGAATGGAGAAGCCCTAAAACCAGGCAGAGGCCAAGCCTGTGCCACACAGGACAGTGCAAGTCTGCCCATGGGTAAATACACTGGGCCCAGGGCATGAGTCCGGGTAGGGTCTAAGATCCCCCAGTGGGGGCTACAGGCATGTCTCAGGGATGGAGCCCTGCCTAGAATCCCCCAGTGAGGGCCTGGGGGCATGGCTCAGGGTGGAGCCCCTGCTGAGAATACCTCAGTGAGACTGGGGGTGTGGCTCCGGAGTAGAGGCCCTGGGTAGAATCCCCCAGTGAACACAGGAAGTGGACACAGGAAGATCAGGAGTTCAGATTACCCTTAGCAACACAGCCTGGGCTGTGTGAGAACTTATTTCATAAAACACAAACAGCCTGTGGTGGCACAGCACTCAGGAGGCAGAAGCCATGGACTTCTGTGAGTTCGAGGCCAGCCTGGTGTACAAATAGAGTTCCGGGCAGCCAAGGCTACACAGTGAGACTGTCTAATACAAAACAAGGAAAGCCAAAAGTCAAACCCATCGTCAGTCAGCCATGGTCTGTTTCTGTCAAGTCCCCACCAGCCCTGCTGTTGTTGCTGAAGTTTGGCCCAGGACATCCCTCTCCTCAGGGCACAGAAGGGGGCGGTGCTGCTGAGAGCCCCCATTAGGTCCAGTGTTCCCAGCCCACACCACAGCGAGACCAGGGACACCGTCCCCTGCTGAGTGCTTTCTCTGTCTCCCTTTCCATCTCTTGGGAACATCAGCCCTTTGGGACCTGCCCTTCCATTTTTGGGCCAGGGATGCAGGGTACTGGGCTTTCCGAGAAGTGAGGAGACGGAAGGTTCTGGGACCCTTACCCACCAGTACCCAAACAAGGAGTGATCAGAAACTGGAGCTACTCCAACCGTAAGCAGCAACCTGACTCCCGCTGTCCCTGGCCAGCTGCCCAATTCAGATGTCTTTCAGAGACCCTCAGGTGGGGATCAGAGGCAGTGCAGGGCGGGGCACTGCTCTGACTGATGAGGTGGAGGGCGCTTGGAGTGTGAGAAGTACAGGCTGCTCTGGGTAGAAAGCTGTGAGACTTTAGGGTGGCAGGAAAGTGCAGAATCAGCACTTAATGCCAAAGTCTTAGGTGCCTGGCTACTGGGGTCACGAAGGGAAAAAGTCCAGGCAAACCAAAGACCCTGGCTTGTCCTGAGGTCTCCCCTGGGCCTGGTGGAGGGTGTCATCAGCACTCACCTCTGTCCTCTGTACACAATGGCATTCTGGCCAGGCTACTGTGACAGCTTGAACACAACAGACCTGGGACCCAAAGATGCTGGGAGATATTGCTATGACACAGGCCAAGGGCCAGGGCCACCCTCATGCCCTATGAACAGTGCCCGTGGCTTCCTGTAGCTGCTCTCCAGAGTTCTGGGCCAATCAGACACCTGATAACACCCCTCATGAGCCTGCACGGGCCTGGGGACACAGAGACACTTGGTGGCTATATATAGTCTGTGCCACAGGATCAAAGGTCATCACAGCGCCCAGGCCTGGCTTTGTGTCCCACTGGCAGGGGGAGCATGCAGTCCTCAGCACTCAAGAGATAAGGGACAGGAGCTGGGCCGGAGCTGTGTGGAGTGTGGAACTGGCATGCCCCAGCTGCTGCCCACTGAGGGAGACAGTGAGACTCTGGGACCGGTGTCTCTGTGCGTGAACCTCCCTGAACAAAGCAGTATGTGTACCTGACCTAGTGCAGAGGCCATAGGGCAACAGCCAGGCTCAGGTGTCACCTCTGGGAAGTGAGAGCCTGTGTGACCCTCCCTTTCACAAGACACAGGTATATCTCCCTCCTGGGGAGGGGGCTGGTTAAAATATGCTGTCTTTGCAGCCCACAGGGTTCTGAGGCAGGCGGACTACTGCAAGTTCAAGACCATCCTGTGCTGCATATGACTCTGCCTCAATAACACAGAACAAAAAGGCCAGCATAATGGCTTAGTGGGTAAAGGCACCAAGTTTAATCCTGTAAGCCATATGATATTGAGAGCCAATTCCTGCAAGTTGTCCTCTGACTCCACACATGGGCATTCAGTCCCTCACCCCCCACACACACACAAAAGAAAGAAAAAAAACAAAACAGAGACTCACAATCTGCCTGCATCCTGATACAAGGTTATTGGTGCTGGAGAGACAGTTCAATGTTTAAGCATACTTGCTCTTCTTACAAACCTAAGTTCAGTTCTCAGCATCCATCCTAAGTGGTGCGCCGCCACCTGTAACTGGAGCTCAAGAGGAACCTAAGCTTTCTTTTCTTTCTTTCTTTCTCTTTCTTTCTTTCTTTCTTTCCTTTTCTTTTTTTTTTTTTTTTTTTTGCCTCAGTGGATACTTACACATGTGGCAAACACTCACACAAACACATAAACATACACATAAAAAATAAATAACACTTTGCCCAGCAGTGGTGGCGGTGCACACCTTTAATTCCAGCACTCAGGAGACGGAGGCAGGCAGATCTCTGTGAGTTCGAGGCCAGACTGGCTTACAGAGTGAGTTTAATGCTAGCCAGGGTTACACAGAGAAATCCTGTCTCGAAAAACCAATAATAATCGAGAGGCGGAGGCAGGCAGATCTCTGTGAGTTCAAGGCCAGCCTTGTCTACAAATTGAGTCCATGACAGCCTGAGTGGGCTCTGTTACACAGAGAAACCTAGTCTCGAAACGATAACAACAATAAATAAGACAATGCAGGAGCTGGAGAAATGGCTCAATGGTTAAGAGCACCAGTTGTTCTTGCGGAGGACCCAGGTTCGGTTCCCAGCACCCACATGACGGCTCACAAACTCCAGTTCCAGGGGATCTGACACCCTCTTCCAGACTCCATGGGCACTTCACACAAGTGGTGCAGAGATACTCAGGCAAGCAAAACATGCATACATTAATAAACAAACAAACAAATGAATAAATAAATAAAGACGATGCAGAGCCTGGGAGCTGAGGGTTAGGGTTAGCCTGGGGATAGTCGTCACTTAGGATCTGAGGGAAACAACCCCGACACTCATGTCACTACATCGTGACGCCTCCGTGTGGGACCTGTCACACCCTCCCCACTTTCCATCATCTCCAGATGACAGCACACCAAGTGTGAGCTGTGTGCAGTGTGTCGCGGCTGTCAGTGACTGGATGAGGAGTAACCAGAAAGCAGGGGTTCCTGCTGCCTGGCTTTCGGCGCTGAAGGTGCCATGTGGCCCATGTGGCCCACGCGGCACAGACACGCTGGCGGCCTTCGGACCCACGGCTGGACCCTGCACTACACTGACCTGCCAACAAGAGGCAGCCACTGCTGCAGCAGCGGCATGAGGGTCACGGGAACACCTGCTCTTGCTGCACCTGTGGCTGGCTGGCTCCACCGGAGGGGAGGGCATCCGTGCTGCCGCAAACCTCGCCAGAAGCCCTGCGCGGAGGGAGGGCGCTGCTGCAGTTGTCTGACATGTCTGCTGTCATGCCTTCTCCAGGCTTCGGTCTGCTCGGGGACAAGCTGTGCGGCAGTTAATGCAGAGACTTGATCAAAGTGTACTAGGCCCTGCACAGGACCTCTGTACCCTGTGCCTCTAGGCTCAGGGAGCACTGTGGAGGGGACTGAAGGAAGGCAAGAGCTGGAGGCTGGGGAGGACGGCTGTGAAGTGCTGTCCTCTGCACACGGCATGGCAACTGCCCTTGGGACTGCAGCTGTGGTTCCCTGCACACGAGAACAGGCAGGCAGGCTCGGCCAGCATTCTAGCAGCAGTATTCATTGGCCTCAGCGGTGCAAGTGCATGCGCACACACACTCAAAGGAGAGGACGCAAACATAAGTGGTGGGCGGACAAGCTGGGTGCAGATGGTCATAGCATTAATAAAATTTCCAAAGAATAAATAAAAGTTTTTGTTTTTATTGGAAGACCTGTGTGTATAGTTTGGACCTGTTTTTCTTTAATACCGTCCATCTGTGGTTGCGTGCCTGAGGACACAGGCACTAGGGTAGGAAGGGTCTTGGGGTCTCTGTCACAGGTGGCAATGCCACATTGTCAGGCAGCAGGGGCCCAGCTGGTGGTAGCCAGCACACATTCTCACTGCTGAGGACAGCCTGGGAGGGCAGAGGAGCCGGACATGGCACAGTCCCAGGGAGGAGAAAGGATCCAAATGCCAATGTCTCCCCAAGTCCTCTGCCGTTACAGTTCTTCAAAGAAAGAAAAAACGAAGGTGGGAGGGGGCTCCAGAGTTGACCTGGCTTCACAAGCAAAAGCACTTGCACGGAACCTGACAGTGCCTGGGACTCACTCAGAAGGACAGACGACCCTCACAGGTTGTCCTCTAACTTCTACGACATACACATGTGTGCATATGCGGGCCAGGGGAAATAAATAAATGCAATGAATCTACCCAGAGAAGGGAGCAGAGTCTAGATCCCCCAAGGAAACGGGCGGCCCGGGCCTGGAAGGCAGAGGCAGCAGACGTGCCGGTGGCACCTCTAGTCTTCTGATCTCTGCAGCTGGTGGCCTGGGCTGCATATCTGTCCTTCCCGGCCGGTGAGGCACCTGACAGCAACCCCCACACGCAGGCTGAGCCACCCCGGGGTACTCCGAGCTCCACAGTGCAGCCTCACCGGGGCAGAGATGGACAAGGGAGGCTGTCCTGCTTGGGCTAAGGCTAAGGTCACCTATGTCGGCACCAACACCAGCACTGGGAGCAGGGAGGACCCATTACTCAGAACAGTTCTAGACAGTGGGCGGCCACATGATGGCGGCCCCTGAGCCAGTCCAAATCTCCAGACAGACACTCGAGTCATGGTGGCTGGCCCATGAGTCATCAGAGCCAGTGCGTCAGCAACCCCAGACCGGACAGTCTCCAGAGGCCACTCACCACCCACCCTGGCCATACCCTTAGCCTGGCTTTGGCCTCACATTCCATCTCAGGCCTGGCACAGGCCCAGCCGGCCTGCCATCTCCCTGCCTTCATGTTTCCCCCAATATTGCCTAGGGCACCCAGGCAGGGTCCAAACCTGTGCTAGACACAGGCACACACCCAGGCCAATGTGCCCTGAGCCCTGGGTGGGTTCATGGGCCTGATGAGAGCCGCTGAGGCCCAGGTGTGGAAGCTGCCGCTTGAGTTCCCAGCCCCCACCCTAGAAGAGTTTTCGCCCCCAACCCTGTTCTGAGGACAACATAGCAGATCAGGCAGCTAGAGAAAGAACCCACAAACTCGGCCGAGCCAGCTGTGGCAGGCCACCCTAGTGACCAGAGCCTCGTGGGGCACTAGGGGCTGGAAGCTAGCAGGGGACACAGCTCCCGGCCCCCACCCAGCCGCTGGCCTTGTCCTTGAGGCCGGCTTTCCAAACCCCAAAACCATTCTTCTCAGAACGTCCAAAAAACAGGCAAGAACAAGAAGGAATTTCATGGCAACATTTCTTTGGGGTTTAGTAAAATCCGTTCCCACCCCCACACGGAGTGCAGCTCGCTGCCTCGCACACCCTGTTCTGACGCCGTCCCCGCTCCCCCAGCCCGGCCACTGTACTTTCAAAGCCAATTTCACTTTTATTGTCCATGTGGCTTGCTGGAACGCAGCTGGCTGGCTCACACTTGGCTCTACTGCTGCCCCACCCTTGGTCCCCAAACATGCAGGTGGGGGACAAGGCTTCCGGGAACAGTGCAGTATCAGGCTGGCCACTCAGACCGTTCCCAGAGAGCCTAGATGGGTGGGGATGGAGCAAAGACCTGGGTGGCAGGAAACACTGGGGTGTCAACAGATGTGGGTGTCAGAAACCTGGAATGAGGGAAGCTCAGGCTGGAGCACACAGTAGGATCACCTCCTGACCTCTTCAACAACTCTCAGCCCCTTACTAAGAGTAATGCCAAGCTTCCCCAGAAACCTGTGACACCCCTCCCACCTCGTGAGCTAGCAAATGTCCTTCCTTTAAAATGGGAAAGCTGAGGCTCAGGGACCTCCCTAGCTTTGAGTACCTCATCTTCCTGTCCATAAAGCATTCTGTTCCCAGCAACATCCCAGTGGCTCTGGACCTAACTACCAAGGCAAGCATTCTGGGGTCCAGCACACCCACCCCTGCCTGTTGCCATGGTTTCCCAATGTTTCCCAGCTCTGGGCACGGCACTCCTCACTGTGCTGCGGTACTTCACGCCAACCAGAGACACACAAGCCAGCAGCCCCCACGCTCACTCACGTCAGCAAACCCTCCCCTGAGATACTCCATGGCTCCTGGCCTGCAGCCTGCTCCTCCTGTAGTGAGTCCTCTTTGGGGGTTCACCTCTAATTGGGAGTGGGGGAAACAAGGCACCTGCGGTAGGCTTGCTCCAGGCTGGTCTGTGGAAAAAGAAACTCAGAACTTGGGAGGGGCAAGCAGAAGCCCAGAGACCTGAGGGTCCCCAAGTAGCAAGGGAGAAACCCAGACACACATTGCTAGAGGTGGGCCAGAGATCTGAGGCGGAGTGACAGCCAGGGTGAGACAGGCCTCAGGGTCCAACCCCAGCCCTTTAGGAGACCAGACTAGACTTTCCCTGTTACCAGACTCTGCAAGCATCTTTTCCACTGAGGCCTCATCTCTAGGCTGCACCTGAAGACAGCCTGAGGGGCCACTGAGCAGGAGTGAGAAAGGCTGCCTGTGTCACACTGGACTAGGAGGCACTTCCTTGAAGGATCCAGCACCAGATTCCACAGGGACTCTTGGGAAGTGAGGGCCAAAGGTGAGAGCAGAAGCCCCGCCCATCCACAGCGCTCTGGCCACTCGGCTAGAGTGAGCCAACCCTTGCCTCCCTGGGAAATGAGGTGGCTCAGGGACAGTGAGAGCACGGATTTGAAGATGGGGTTCCAGGAGAGGAGTGCTAGACGGCAGGCTACTACGCATGCCTTCCGAGAGGTCATGAACCCAGCAGCCTTCAACCAGAGCCGTCTGAGGTTCAGCCATTGAAGGTGAGCGTAAAGACTCCTGGCCTGGGCCAAGCTCCATACTTGCCCAGCCCCAGCACATGTTGAGGAGAGGCAAGGAGGGGCTCCCGCTCTAGAAAGAGGCCCCAGGGGGGCGTGGCATTTTAACATGCCACCTCCCCAAGCAGTGTCAAGTCCTCTGTCTACAGCGTGTGTCATCTGGCCTCACAGCTGAAGCTCAGCACTGGGCGTCACCACGACAATGCCCGCACAGGGACATATACCAGCAGGCTGTGTGTGGTGTGCAAAACTGACTCCGGCTCACCAGCTGCCCAGAAACGTGAGCAGGAAACACTCAGAGCAGCTCACACTTGCGAAAGACCATACAGCAAGTAGGAAGACTTCTTAGCAACCCAAGCCCTTGCCCCCCACAGCCCCAGACAGACAGGCGCAGGACATCACTGAGATGCAGCTGGAAGGATCCAGGCTCCATTGCTGGGACTACTCCCCACAGCCCAGCTAAGTTGGGGCATGGAGCTCAAGAGCTGAAGGAGGCAAAGCACCCAAGTTTCAGCCCAGAGGACCCCACTAGGGACCCCATCCTCTCATGAGTAATGGAGGTCCTCTGTAGGTGAGGAAAGGGCCCAGCAGCCACCCTTGAAGACTCCAGGCCCCAAGTATCCAGATGCGTGTTCCATGAAATGGAGCTCTGGAGGCTAGCCAAAGGGAGCCTTTCTGCTGCCCATCCTGATGTCCAGCCACTGTGAAGGAGCTCAACCATGCTAGTCACCTGGACAGAGTGACAAGGTACATGGGTGGGTGAGAGGGTGGAGCGGTGGATGAATGCCACGGTCCAGCCAGGACAGGTGAGGCCCAGTTCTTGGAGCCCTCTCCCACTAACAAGAACGGCCTTAGCCCTCCCTATGCCCCACACAGGATGGAAGACACCACAGAGCCAGCTGTCCTTGGTAGCACAGATGGCACACAAGGGTACATATTAAGACACCCAGGCATCCCAGCACAGAATCCCAAAGTGCTGGGACAAAAGCTGCCTGGCAGCTCAGCCCAGAACCCTGACTGCAACCCTGAACACGCCTCCATTCACAGATATCTAACCCACCTCTTTCCTACTCAGCCTCTTCTCCTACACATTTTCCTGGGGCAGAGAGCCATGCAGTGGGGACCAGGCAGACCCACTCTTTGCCTGGTCAACCAGAACCTCCTGGAGCCCTGGCCACATGCTTTTCAGAGGATGAGTGGCCCACCTGATCCAGTCAGAACCTCCTCTGGGACTTTTGTTTTTCAAAACAGGATTACTCTATGTAGCCCTAGGTGTTCTGGACTATTCTGTAGACTAGGCTGACCTTGAACTCAAGAAATCTGCCTGCCTTTGCCTCCAAGTACTGGGATTACCCTGCCATTGCAGGGCATTCCCTGAGACTCCTTAGACAGCTCCAGATGGAGGCTCTTTTCCCTGATGAGTTAGCAAGTTGGGGGTATATGTGCCTAGGCCAGGAGGTGGACAGCAGCTAGGGAGAGGGACCAGATTCTCAGATTCCTCTAGTATGTGCCTGTGTGTGTGTGCACACACATGTGCCATGACACACATGTTCTTTCCTTT